TATGTTTTCCTCTCTCTCTCTCTCTCTCTCTCTCTCTCTCTCTCTCTCTCTCCTTACCTATCTATCATCTATCCTAACTGATCAGATAAAGCAAATAATCACCTATTTTAGGCAGTAGCATATAGAATGTTGCTGAAGGCAAGATTATGACTTTAGTGACAATGACAAAGGCATAATTGATTTTGAATGGAAGAAGAGAATGGCCAATCACTCCAGAATTTTCATTACGAAAATCAAATAGATAATAAATACAAAATGACAAAATGGTGATGGCCCCCTCAAGTCAGGTTGCACTGAACATCACCAGCACAAGATGGACTGACTACTAATGGTATGTGTGAAATTACTAGATTAAAACCTTCAAAAGGTTTAGTTCCTGATTTGCCATAAAAGAAAAGAAAAACTGAAGATGCAAAGACAGAATTACATTAGGAATATGGACCATAAGGAGCATGAAGAGAGAAACTCAATACAATGAAAGATGAAATGAAATGACTACATATTTACATCTAATGCATCAGTAAATTGAAATGGACTGGGATTGCATATGCTACCAGCCAGCACTTGGTAGAACAGCCACAAAGACTTTGAAGAATATATTTAAATCTCAGATGTGTATTTACCTAGACAAACATCAGAACTGTACAAGTCATAGTATCCCTATAGCACTTTATAAACCAAAACCTGAATATCAAAGTGGCAGGATAGGAAGAGTACTGACATATCTGAACTTTGGTGCTTGAGAAAATTCTCAGAATATCAGGGATAGCCACTACAATGAGTTAATGGATCACAAACAAAATTACCCAGAATTTTCATTTGAGACACATGACAGGACTTAAAATATCTTAATTCAGACATATTATGCAAATATCTATCTGTCTAGAGAAGTTGTGGGACTCAGTTACAGTGATGATGGGTGCACGGTTGGAGGACCAGATTAGGGACAGATTGTCATGAAAAAATCAATGTGCTTCCTAAGAACTGACAATGATCTGACAGCATATAATCAATTAATCAATTGCCTCTATTGATTGAATCAAATCAAATCAAACTTCCTTCAGAAATGTATCAACAACTGAACTGTCAATTGCCTAGCCCACTAACTCATTGAGATACAATTAATCCATAGGCTTTATTGGGAAAAACACCACTAAAACAGGGGTCACCAACCTTTTGGACCACAGGGACCACTAAATTCATAATTTTAAATCCCACAGACCAATAATATGAATTCAGCTGCCACTTGCTGAAGCATCTGACCTTCCAGTGATGGGATCGGGTACCTCAGGCATATAGCTTGGCAACCTGTTTCTGCAATCTTAAACACTCAAATAGTCATTTGGACCTGTTTCCCACAGAAAACAAAACACTGGGAGCCATATAATCTGGGTGGGAGTGGCCAACTCAACATCGCTCACTCCCACCCAGTTACATGACCCACCACCACCACACCTACCCAGGTTTTGTGGCTCCCAGTGTTTTCTTTTCTATGGGAAATAGGTCTGTCTGTTACTCTCTCTCTCCCTCTCCCTCTTCTGATTCAGCCAAAGTTTCCAAAAGCAAACACAGATAAACTCCAAAACTGAAATGTTCACGGCTTTATTCCACAAATAACCCTCTTTGTAGATAACAGATGGCTTGCAGCCAATTAGTCCAATAAATCAGAGTCTGTAATCATCACACTGACTCCTTCAAACTTTTGCCTTTGCATTTGAAACCAGGCTTATATTCCCTAGGGGGAGGGGCCATTAATTAGCATTCTTACTCCGGAGTCACCTGTGTTGTTCTTCCATGAATCATCCTGCTCTCACTCACACCCAGCACAGGCTCCTCAGGAACATCGTCCTGATCGCCAACACCCATTGCTTCTGCCCGCCTGCGCCACCACCACCCCTTGCCACAACAGCACCATTACCTCATTCTGGCCATGAGGGCTGTGCTACTCCTTGCATGTTGCACTACCTGCAAAGTTGCAAGTTGCACATACCACCCTATACGGCTGAAATTTCCAGCCCCACCATGAGCTGCCTGGCTGATCTCATATTCCAAGGCTCTAGTCATAGCACTGCCCATTGGTCATCCTGGAGCAGCTCGTCCACCCGGGTGTACTGCGGAGATTTTCTTGCAGACCACCAGTGGTGTGCAGACCACTGGATGGTGACCTCTGCACTAAAGCATCCCAACTTGAATTAAAATTTAGTTTTTCTGGAAAAAGCCTTATGAGATTTTCTGCCTCAGTTGCTCAAATGTATTATTTGTTGTTTTATGTTAAGTAACAAAACAACTTCAATGAAAGGCATGTTTCAGCACCATGACTAAGCCTCTGCTGCTTTTTCTTGCAATTGCCATGAGTGGAAATGTAGGCAGTGATGCCATCTCATCAAGTATCTCTCTTCTACGTGGGTAATTTAGATGAACTAAACTTGAACTAAAGTATCTATATCACTGAGAAACAGCTGCATACAGTAGTATCCATATTGCTTACTGAACTCTTGGATATTAGATTCCCTAGATGAAATAATAATTGATTGTATTTTCCAATAATTTCTAAAGAGCAGGTGACAACATTCAAACTAGTTTTTCATTCTCAACATACATGATTATATTAATTTTCCTCAGAAATGTAATGAAGATTTTTGTCCAAGTATTTCTGTCTCATTCATTAATTATTGAGGAATAGTAATGCTAGTACAAAACAAAAAACAAAAAGGCAAGCAATCACGCTTCTTCTTACAATCACATTTTTGGTACTTTCATTTGATAGAGGCCTCTTCATTAATGCTATCACTCATCTCTAAGAGCTCTAGTTTGCTAAAAATATAAGACAGAACATGAATCCTAATATAAGCTGAGAAATCTTATGTAATCTTTCCACAGAAAGCTTGAATATCTTGGAAATAACAAATGTTTTTCTAAATGAATGTCTCAAGCTAAATGATTTCAGTGTTAATTATAAAACTATACTCTTTGACCAGAACTCTAAAGCAAAGTTCAAAGTTATCCCAATTAGAAATAAAAGAAAACTGTGTATATGTTTGTTTCAATAGAACATATTCTCAAATATAAATATGTGTAATGTCTATATGAGCCATTTTGATAATCATATTCATTAGTTCAGAGTGTATCCTATTATAGTTTAGAAAAATATGGTAGAGAAGTTTCCTATCCTTTCACTGACAGCAATGTGTCTCACTCATTATTTTGATTCATCTTTTGGGACCTCTCCTATTTTTGTTTCAGGAATATAAACTCAATCTAATGAAATAATATTTATTACTCTGAAGTAAATTTAGTTTATAAATTTGAGACATTAGAAGACATCTATATAGTTCTACTCTCAGAATAACAGTTGCAACTAACTCCTTAATGTAATGGAGATGCGTTTCTATTTTGTTCTGTGACTCAATTGTGTTTTCTTATTGTGAAAAGAGTATTATAGAGGTAGGAAAGAATATGTGTAACTCTTCCTAGGCAGTAGATTACTATATTTCATTAGCATTCAGCAATTTTGCATTGGCAAAACATTAGCAATAACATCAGATCATAAGTAAATGGAGAGCTCAAGCAGGCTCCACAAGTCCTCATACTTGTCAAGGATGACATTACCTCAATTTTTGCATCTTGAATATTTATTTGTGGTCATAGCAGTATAGAAGCAAAGAACATTGAACAGCTCAGTACCATAAATTATTTTATAAGAGCTTGGACACTGAGACTTGCATTGAAGGACTGCAGTCTTCATAAAACCATAACCATAAATCCCTGTCATATATTTTCCCAAACTGAAGTGTAAAATGGAAATGAGTTTAATTTTGCAAACATCCTAATGCAAAGGCATGAAAAACAACTTGACTGAATAATGCTATTTCTAAAAATGCAAACTATGATAGAATCAAAACAAAACTTTTATTTGCATAATTATGATACATGTGTAAAAAAGCATAAGCAAATCAAATGGATTATCATACAAGCAGAGCATTTCAAAAATATTTTTAAAAGTAATGATTATGCTATAATTTCATGGGGCTTCTTGGGGAAAATATACTGCATAAACGTCAGAATACCATAGTGCTGGGAGAAATAGAGAAATCTGCTCCCATGACTAAAGAAAGAGCAGAGACATTAATTAAAATCTTCCTTGGATTAAATTCTGAACCATAAAGGGCAAGTATTTACAAGCTATTGAAATGTGCATGTTCAAGCTCAGAAAGCATTATGTGTTGCAGCAAGAAAAACATGGAGGAGCTGACAGATGGGTTGTGACTTGCCATGGTACAATCATTCAACACAACACGTAAGCATATTGTAACTGAGAATATTTAGTAATACAAAATAAGATGTTTAGGTTTAATCAGTTTTTCCTAAAAAGAGATGCCAGAGGAACTTTTACATGGCTACTGTTGAGTATTTTTCTGAGTTTTTTTTTTTTTTTTTTGTACTGTAGGGTGCCTAGAATCTGAGGGTTGGGCTTGGTATCTATATAAACTTTATAAATGAATAAATATCATTCAAAAGATAATGATAACTTATTCAAATTTATAAAAATGTTAATAATATTAATGCTTAAAGTTCTTCTTGTTTATCTGAATGTCTTACAGAAAATATTAAACCCAATTATTCCATGAGACAGAGCTTGAGAAATCATATCCTGTTATCTCACAAACTAGCCTTCTCTAACCTGGCAAACCAAATTAAATTTATTAAGCTACATACTTGTAATATTGAAAATTGTGCTCATATTACAAAGCCCACATTTCCAAAAGCAAACTCAAAAGAAAATATTTATATTGTAAATATGCAAAGATTGATTAAATCAAAACAGAAATAAAAATGACAGGAGTACTGGTGGGACATAATGAAAGGCGTCATGATAATATGAATTTATTTTTGTGACAAAAATCACAATTTTCTTTATCTGGCATACATCATTGCTACTTTAAAATAATTCATTCCATTCATATAAAGAAAAAAGGGGTGGGGGCAGAATAGGTTCTCACCTGCTATTGAACTTCTCTGGATGTTTTTCCCGCATAATGTGAAATCTGTGAGCAATTGAAGCATCCTAAAAGAAATTTTACAAATAAAGTATTATTGTGGATGCATTGCAAAATACAAAATATTTTTTTAACAAAGCTATTCACTAAATATGGAAAATACTCCCTGGACATTATTTATTATTTTGAGATTTTGTACCATTTCTCCAATAATGAAATTTTTGTTTTTATATTGTGGTTTTACTTGATTTTTGTATGCCACCCTGGATTTATATCCACTTCTGGGTGGACATAAATATGAGGGGTGTGTGTGTGTGTGTGTGTGTGTGTGCATTTTAATGTAGCTCTTAAAATAAATATTGGTAAATTATTGTATAGTGTCATTAAAACACAATAGGCAATATTTAAATATTTAAAAAAAATTAACCAAATTCAAAACTTATACAAAATGGCAAAACAAAGAAAGAATGATAAGACTGTGTCATAAATCACATAAATATATGAAAGGATCCAGAAAAAAAGAGAATATCATTTATTAAATATGTTCCCCTCAATTTGATTCAACATGCAAAAAATTATTTAGAACTAAATTAGTGTTGCTCATGCAGTGTTCATATCTCTTTAGTCTGATTAGGGTTTGCATGAAAGGCAATTCATTCTTTCCATGTTTGTCTCCTCTTCTGTCATCTTGTTTTTTTCAGTTCTTTGGCTAGCTTTCCTGACAATTCTCACATGTACAACCAAACAAGAATGTCGACAATATCTTCCAGAAACAAACAGCAGATAATACATGAAGTCACAATGCTGAGAAACTTGGTCTCTCAATGGATGATAAGGAAATTAAACTCTGCCTGGTCCTTCAAAGAATTTCCTGACTATCTTGTGGGCAACTTTTTCTTTGAAGTAGTAGTGAAAGATACGAGAGAATCAAGTCTTTAATCTCTTGATTTATTATCACTTAGTAGAGAAGAACTAAACAAAGGAAATGAAATAGTAGATACATCTTGTTTTAAGGTCTCTTTCATGGATGCTTTTTATCAAGTGGGATCCACTCTACGACTGCCTTAGTCCACCTGCCATCAATTCTTCTTTCCAGAAGAAATGTTATCAACCCATTTCCATTTAAATTTTTTTATACTCTTGTTCTTGAATCCATGTATCGTTCCATGGGTCTTTGCTGAAAATTCTAGGTATTTTCAGTCTTCGTTTAATAATTTAACTATTACAAAATATAAACCTTATAGTTATATGTCTTCTGTTTCTTGCCCTTCTAAATAGTATTTTCTTTTGTATCTACTACATGAATAATTCTGAACCTGTGGAAGGCAGGAATAGTCAGATTACATTGACACAGGATTAGGTATGCTTAATGAATAGACACTGATTTGAGGGAGTTATTTTCTTGGAAAAGAACTGTATAAAACCATAACATATCAAGACAACAATACATGTCTAGGAGTATACACTTCCAACTTATAACAAACTACCTTTGCACTATGTTTCAAGTTGCTCTTATAAAAAGCAAGAAGCGCGTATATATTTTAATAAGCAAGGTGAGAAGCTCTTCTTGGAGTCAAATTTTAAAACCTCTGTACCAATTTCTGTGAAATGTGTTCTGATTCATTCCTTTAACATGCTTTAACTTATCTGCAACATTTATACGGTCTGATTAAACATTTTTAAAAAGTTAGTTTCAATTGAATTTTTATATTGCTCCCATATTAGCAAATGGGAGACTATTTTTCTGATTCATATTCCAGAATCAAGTACAAGTCTGAATGGCCTCCTAACAAATCAAAAATAATGCCCAGGGAACTTGGGTATTATTCGGCGGTGGCAGGAATCCGCGATGCTGCGGGTCCCTGCTGCGCTCCCCGCTGACGTACCCCCAATCCAATTGGATTTGGGGGTTATCGCTATCCCGAAGAGGTAGCAGAAGATAGAGGAGATCCGGGCAGGGGTCTGGGGATATCGCAACCCCTTTCCCCAGCTGGCTAGACTCCTTTTTCCTGAGGCGGTGGAGTGGCTGTCAGAAATTGCAGCCACAAAGGAATCTTCAACCAGATAAGATCTGTGCAGGAGGAAGAATCAGAAGGAGAAAGTTTTCTTGGCTGAACCGGGACATTAAGATACTTTTAAACACCCTGAAAACCTGACTTTTGGATTGATACATTTGTTTCCAAAAGAAGTTGTTAAAGCGGCGAAAGTGCTGAAGGAAAGTTTACTCCCCTTCCCTATGGAGAAAGCAAATGAGCACTGAAAAAATCTGCTTCTTTAAGGTAAAAATAAGCTCTTTGTTATAAGTGGGAAGGAGAGGACTAAAAAAAGTTTTAAAAATTTGTTGGAGGAGATGCCTTGAAGATTATAAGATCAGCACCTAACTGTAATACAGCTTTAAAATATATTTTGGGATTTTGCCCCAGGAGGAAAAACTGCAAAGAGAAGAAGAGGAAATATTCTGTGTTTGTTTGGACTGTTTGATAACTTTGACACTTGGAAATTACTTAAAAGATTAAAAACATCTGGGTTGTTTTTAAAAAATTTACAATGGCACTATCTGTGGATGAATTAAAAATGGAATATGAAAAATTAAAGGAAAGAGAACAAGAAGGCAAGGATTCTTTGTGAGCTGTCTTCCACTTTTTACAAATGGCGGTTTCTACATATCAGCAAATACATGAGGAAGAAGGAGAAGAAGAAGAAGAAGAAGAAGAAGAGGAAGAAGATGCCATTTTTAATGGACAAAAAAGTTCAATTAAGAAAGAAAATAGAAAGAGAGGAAGGAAAAATGAGAATTTAAGATTTAATAAAACAACCAAGAAAAAGAAAAATAAGGTGAAAAAAAGGTACAATGTTAGAAAGCAACAGAACAGAAAACAGAAATACAACAGAGAGGGGAAGTTAAAAAGGTGGAGGTTAGGAGTGGGGGGCAAAAAGACCAGACTGGAGAAGAAAGGGAGGGAAAAAGGGGAAAAAAGCCACAAAGGCCTGAAACAAGATGTAAAAAAGCAGATCTTTTTCAGAGATAAAGGATTAAGGAAAGATTCTGCAAGAGTACATAAGATAGTATTGTAGTATTTGCATTTGAAATAGTCCATTGGAATATTATAAGATTTAATAAAATATTAAAATGTTTAATAATGATAGATCTCAATACTCAATAAAATATCAAAGAGAATGTGTAAAATGATTAATGTTAAGTTATAGTTTAATTTGTTATTGTTTTAATGTTATTATAAATTTACTATTTCATTTTCTTATTTTAAAATAATGTACTAAGTAGAATTAGAATTAGAATGGAAATTATATATTTAACTATATTATAAATTTATTATTCCTTTATTTTAAAATGCAACATGTCGAATGTACTAAGCAGAATCAGAATGGAAATTATGTACTATTTTAAGTGTTAATTTAGGGGAAAGATAGAAAGGCATTACACTTTAAAAGTGATCACAGGGGAAATTTTCTGTTAAAGAGAAGTGATATATAGATAATTGGAAAAGAACAAACAAAAGATACAAGTATAATGATTTTAAAATAAGATGAAATAAATAAAATATAATTAAGAGAGTGAAAAGAAGGGAGAAGTTATATAGAAAATATAGAATGGTAAGTAAGATAAGAATGGTATATAAGGTGAGCATGAATTTGATATAGGTCTGTAAAAAAAGATGTAACCAGGAGCTAAGCCACTTTTCAAAAGAAGTTTTATGTTTTGTGTTTTGGTTAGATATGTTTGATTGAGAATTAATAAAACCTTGGAGGAATAAAACTAAAGGGAGAAACAATGAGAAATTTGGAAAAGACAAATGATAATTAAGGAGGTTTTATGTTTTTATGTCTTGTTTTATGTTTTGTATTTTGTGTGTTTATGTTTGATTGAGAATTAATAAAACCTTGATAGAAAGAAATATAATTGAATAAAAGTGAAGGGAGAAACAATGAGAAATTTGGAAAAGATATATAGGTGTCTAAATGGAAATGTGATAATTTGGAACCATGCTGTATAAATGTTTATATTTGATTGAGAATTAATAAAACCTTAATAGAAAGAAATATAATTGAATAAAAGTGAAGGGAGAAATAATGAGAAATTTGGAAAAGATATATACGTGCTTAAATGGAAATGTGATAATGTGGAACTATGTCTCAAAAAATAATGTTTTATTTGTCTTGTTAAAACTTATAAGTAATTTTTAGAAAGGAGGTTTTATGTCTTTATGTGTTATGTTTTGTTTGTCTTTAAAAAATCAATAAAATTTGTCTAAAAAAATAATAATACCTGCATACTGTGATTATTAATTTCACTTCTTAAAATGTGATACGGTAAAAAGAGGACAAAAAAGCTGTTAATTTTTTTTAAAAAACTGTAGGCTCTATAAGAATGTTATTTGTCCACTTCTTTAAAATTAATATGTTTTACTTGGAAATAGTTTTATTAAATTCTTATTTGCTTTTTTATATACCTTATGGTCCATTGATATTGGTAAGTTGTTCTTCAGTTAGAATCACAGTTCAAAATGAAAAGAATTCTGGGGAGTCTTTGATTTTAAATACTCCACATTTGTACTTATATACATTTAAACACTTAAAATATGACTGGAAGGAAACCAGATATTTTGTGGAAGTGAATTCCATTTCCCATTAACACTAAGCAAACATTAATTGTCGATATGAAGAAAAATAATTTAGGTGATTAATTTTTAAAGTGCTGTTTTTGTTATTATATTTGTCAAAAGAAAGCAGCCACAATTTATGGTTGATACATAAATGGACAGGAGATTTGGGAAAGCAGCTTAAGCAAATACTTTATTTAAGCTGTGGAAATATCTGTCCTGCTACACGATTTGCATGTACCCTGCCAGTGAAATATTTTTATGAATATCTGTTTTGACTAAATAATTAGGTTATATAAAATACTTCCCAATAACAATTTAATATTCAAATAATTAAATAATAATAATTGTTTGTTATCTTTTCATAGTAGAAAATTCCCAAATAAAAATAGTAAAGCAGGCAGATTCTATTATGTTATGCAAAAGTATTAAGCCAACTGTTGCTGTTT